AATTATAAATAAGAAATAACAAGTCATTTAAGAAATATAAATAAATTATATTTCTTAAATGACTTGTTGTCCATAAAGACATTCAGTGAGGGTCATAACTCCAATATTTTCAATAGCATGCAAAGCCTTGTGCTGAAGACAGGTAGCCAATAAGAAACAAACCTATAAGGACAGGAAACTGCCGATAAGCTGCAAGTTTGGGTTGAAAAATATTCTCCATTAGAATCCGCTCCATGAAAAATAAACTCTGATGAAAGTTTTCTGATGTTAATATAGCTTCTGAATGGCATTCCTCCTCTTCGTGGATTCTGGCGATAACAGCACTTTCCGTTATAGAAGAACTTGTGCTGCCTGGCAACAGATAATATGGGAAAAAACCCCAATTTTAACATGATAATACTTAGCACATGAAAGTCAAAGGGAGAAGAAGTCTCCTCCTCCCCCACATGCAAAAAGCATGGAAGAATCTATCATACATCAAAATACATCATCAGAAAATACTAATAAAATATTAATTTTTTTCTTGCTTTACTTTTATTGCTCAAATACTCAGTATGATGAGATGCTTCTGGAATTTTTCACGATTGGTGTTTTGCTTCTACTGTCCTAAGTAAGTTAGTACCAGCAAACTTTGTCACTCTTTATCTTTATTTAAGATCATTTATGACAGCATTGTACAGAAAAGATCTTGGTGCTGACCTGTCCAAGATTCTTCAGCAAACGCTCAAGTGCCAGACAGGCAGACCAAGCATTTTCTTCATGCAGCTTTCACCACACAACACAGTGATATGCATGATTTAGAAGGATGAAAACACGGCAGAAATGTAAACCTGGAAAAATGTTACCTCTGTCAGAAGAGACAGACATAGTCTGATCATCCTCTTCAGTTGTATGAGATTTGCTGCTTTTCCCAGTTGTGGCTCTGCTACCTTCTGCTTTTGACGTAGGTTCTATTTCCGATACGTTAAATGAATTGTACAAGTCCCAGAAAGTGACCATCATCCCTAGAAATTAATTACACCGTATAATATAAGTCTCTTGCTTCGGTATGTTATTATAAAGGACTACACACAGTTGAGCAAAGATGTACTTCTAGTACACTCCCAACAGTTTGGTAGAGGGGCTTTGAAACCAACTGGGGGTCAGACAAGGCTTTAGCAACAGCTGTTGTGTGATTGCAGCAGCTGCATTAGGGTCTTCTGGGTGTGTGCCTTCCCTTTAGCAGGGCCATCTCCCAGTGAAACAATGCTCCGTAACCTTGCCTGTGTGTGCTCAGCTTTTCAAACATGGGTTGGAATAAGCTCTGCTGATGCTCAAGGCACACAAAAAAGGGGAAGATATGTTTTCAAATCAGATGAATATCTATTTTACTTCTCCTTTTGATGTATTTTTTTTGCACTCATTTTATATACACTAACGAACACAAAGGAAAAATGTTTGGAACAGCATTCCCCATAGTTTTATTTGGCCTCCTACACAAAAATATATCCATAGCGAGGCAAAGCTCAGCACGTACATCTAAAACCTAAATATTCCTTTGTAATTTTTTTGAGGCATTGAGGTTGAACATTTTGTAAAATTGCATCTATCTTGTGAGACTTCCAAGATTTTCTGCTTTCCCCAAGATTTTAAATCTCGTAACAGAGGTTGTCGTCTTTGCGTTTTGGCAAATAGAAATAGAAATCAGCGTCACTGAAAAGTTGAGGAGAAAAAATGGAACTGTGTCCTTTCATATTTCAGGAGCATAGTTGAGTATTAGGTGAAGTTCTGCCTCCTCAGAAACACTCCCTGCTTGCAAAGTGCTGAGGCAGGCAGGACACAGCAGCTCTCAGCGTAATGACTATTTTATTGCAATGGGTCCAGTGTACCAGCACAAGTGTTCAAATTTGAGGAGGGGCGGAAAAGGCCACCACAAATCACGCTAGCCTGTCTGAAGCTAAAGCTCTGGAAGGAAAAGTTGAGGAAACATCTTCTCGTGCTTAGAGAAGAAAGATAGAAAAAAACCCTCTCGTCAGTATCCTGCCTGTGTGGGGAGTCTTCTGAGGTCCCACAATCTAGCTGTATGCTAGAGTTTTCCCAAATAAGTATTTAATAAGTAAACTAAATGTAATAATAAACCCAGCTGCCAAGGGTACAATCTTGCAAATGAGAGCCCATTCTTATTAAATACCCTTTCCTATATGTTACTCAGAAAGTTTACCTTTATCTTCCGTGATGATTTTGTCACATTGCACTTCTTTGTTCTTTGCGGCTCCATTAATGGTTTGCATCATTTTTTCTACAATGCGATCATTACCACATCTGTTTTTGCAAATGTCAACATAAATCCTGTTCCGCTCCCTCGGGGGAAAAAAAAGTGTATATTGACTTTCTGAAAAACATTTGCATTCAACTTCTCAGTGTATTTAACCATAGGTTGAACAGGAGAGGATACTCCATGTCATAAATTTACTGATTGGGTTTTTTTGGATGGCTAGATTTTATTTCACTCTATGTATTGTCTTTCAGCAGCTATTTCTTACCTTGTGATACTGTTCTAAAACAGAAATGGCCTGTAGAGGTAGGCATCGGCAAAACCCTACTCCAACTACCTTTGCACTTTGGTGAATTCAGAGTTCAGCTGTCATCACTCGGGAGTGAAAGGCAGTGCATCCAAGAGACAGAAATGAAACTAGTACGTTTCTATTTCTTCCAGCCCTCAGGTTCTGTAGGAACGGTCACTGGGGATTGTGAAACTTTTTCTGTTATTTTGGTTTCAATATTGTAACCGCAGACATAGATTATACCTTGCCTTAGTCCTCCAGCAGGTTGCTGTGCTGAGGAAGAGTCACCATCTGTTCCTATACAGTTGGCAATCTGTGCTGTGTACACCAGCTAGGGCTGATTCATAGGATGCTCTTCCCTCTTTCCCAAAATCACACCAGTGTGATTCACAGACAGTGGGGGTTGCAGTCCTACCATGAACTTTGTGTGTATAAAGTCACTCAGATAAGTTGTTTGACTTGCCAACTGCAGTACACTGCATCTCAGGCTTTGGGGCTTAAATCTACAAAAGCTGTGTGACAAGTCTCTCTGTCATGGCGAGAACTTTGCTGCGTTCTGTCCCAGGCAGCTCCTGGGAGTAAGCCAAAAAACTACATGTTCTGTGTTAACTCCCTACCAAAGTTCATGGTAGTCCAGGAAAGAGACTCTGAAGTGGAAACACAGTAGATGCCACTAAGGGGAGACAGAATATTTTAACAGGCAAGGTCACTTGCGGTAGGGTGAGGTTTCTTCTAGCTAGAAGCACTGTGAAGACCTTCAGAGGAAGCCAAGGCCTGCCTAGTTTGCTTATATCTTTGTTATTAATAAATGATTAGCTGTAAAGCTAACACAAGAATCAGTGCAGAGGTTTGCATTTTCTTAGTTTTCATTAAAATTGTGTAATTCATGTGTACCACACTTCTCTGTCTTCTCTTTCCCCCATCCCCTGCTTTTGCTAATCTGCCTTAATTTATCAGTGAAAGAGGGTATGAATTTGATCAACAAGATGGAGTTGCAAGGAATTTAGGCTGTCTTGTCAAAAGAGAGACTCGAGCCCAATATGGCTTTAAACAAAGGTGAAATGACAGACTGTAGTGGTGCGTGAGCAGCCCGTTCAGGACTTTGTGATCAGCGCAATTGGATGTGCTGAGCAGACTACATGCATGTACACAACTACCAGTATACATACAGAACTCTTCCAGCATCTTCTGATTCTACAGACAGCACAACAGATGGCATATCCAACATCCAGATAGTTTCCGTCTCTGTGAGGTAAATATCCACTCTCCTATCTAAGTCGTCTTTTGTCAGTTCTTCTTTTACCTCCTCTTGCCTCACCTGCACATCTGAAAAATTATATGAGGTTAACAGGCGAGATGTTTTCTGCTCTAAATTTCAAAGAAGATAAATTAATTCTAGAAGTATTTTCACGACCAGGAGCCAAAACTTGCGAGGCACTGAGTTCCTTTGAAGTGCTGGGCATCTTACATCCACTGACTGCAGTGTCTCACAAATCACAATGCTCCAAAGAACAGTTTAAATCTATAATCATACAGTGTGCATTCTTTACCAGATAAGCTAACAGTTGTGTTTCGTCGAGAGCCGGGTTCCAGTATTTCATCTGGTATGGACTCAGTTGTTGATGCGTTTGATATAGAAGTACTGCTGCTTCCATATGTCCTTCAGTAACAAAGAAATAAGCAGAAATAGTACATGAGAGTCCAGATGTCAGTTAGCAAAGCACTACAAAAATAGCAGTGGTGTTATCAGGATAAACCACAGAAGACTGTAAGAGCCCATACAGTGATGCTTGCATTGTAAAAGAAGTCATAGAAGGCTTAGGACAGAAAATAATATAACATTTGAAAAATACTTAAAAAGGAAGAATTCCTCTGACAGCATATCCTGAGGCATTTACTACCTGATGGAAAAGAAGCTGTTGAGCTCTCAGATTCACTCTTAGCATATAATAATGTGAAGTGTTGGCTACCTACTCTGTGATAATGCATATCCACAAGTAGCACTGTTCTCAACCAGAATTAAGAACCTTTGGTGCTTTGCATGTGTTGAAATGTCTTTGAAATCACAAGAAATTAATCTGAAGGGATTAGCTCGTTAACAAAAATAGATAATGTTCATCGAGTGGATAGCTGTGATAACTAGAAGTAAAACTCAAAACATAGGTACAGTTGGGAGGTTTGTCAGCAGATTTTGTCTTCCTTAAAAGCTAAGAGTGAGCAACTATAAATACACAAAAGGCATTTGAAAAAGACATTTTTTAAGGTTTGTATTTAAAACTAAAGTTAAATAATTTCATTTTGGTTTTGAAATGAAGAGCTCTTGTCTCCAAAAAGGATGCATTTATTTTTCAGGACATAACTTGTATTTTTAAGTAATTTTTTGTGTGTGTGTATTTGCTCCTGGTTAATATTGCTACCTCTAGGAATATCCCTTATGATAGCCACCCTAGGAAACACGACAAAAATATAGTTCTCAAAGAGCAATCTCTTTTTCTCAGAAATCACAATGGCATTAACTTTGACAAAGAAAACAGTAGTTAATGCTTTTAACTTGTTTTTTTTTTCCAGTGCAGACTTTACTAGTTTTCTAAATAAATAGCTGCTTCACTCCATGCAATTTGAATGTATACACACCACTGAATAAAGTGATGCGGTTCATTATTTTTCCTTTTAAACACAAATAGTTATTTACCTTCTTTTGCATGACTTAATTGAATTTGTCATCCGGAAGATAAAATGTCTCAAGTCCATTGACTTTGTTTATTCCCTCTGTACTGAAGGTTTGTAAATGAAAGCTAGTAAGTAGTGAAACACATAATTTAGCAGTTTTAACTGAAAAGTTTTTGTATAAGAACATATTTTGAAATGGATGCACATAAACACACAGAGGTAAATTGCTTAAATTAGTTTAAAAGAGAGGATTCTTACTATGTTAACAATATTTTGGTGTTTGAACCGGAAGTCAAGTGTGTAAAAAGGGTTATCTGTATTGAATAAGTATCATTAAAACTGACAAAATACTTCACTCTTCAGTGAAACTAGACCTTTTGTTTCCAAAGAATTTTTCCATACCCACAGCTAAGCAGGTATTGATATATTCCAGTTTTTGAAAAAAACACACTTGGGGAAGGCAGGGAGCATCTGAAGTAGCTAAAGGGAGTATATTAATGAGCTGCAAATGCCCCTTCTCAGCTGTACAGCCTGGCTCAAACCACCAGAACATGACCTCCTCTACCTTTAAGATAGTGTTTTGTCACATATCCGTGTACAGGTTCTGTCATAACTTTCTATGCACATTACAAAACCTGCATTTTGGACATCTGCATTTTTGAACTGTGAGGTACTTACATCACAATCTCTAAAAATGGTCCATTCTGGTATGTTGCATAAAAAAATGTGGTTTGGGAAGGAGAATTTGAATAGAATTAGAAATATCACAGGAATGTATGCTGCAGTCTGCTTTCACCTGTATGTATTAGCATTTCAGCAGTAGTTCTGACACAGTCATGAATACTGACAAATTCCATTTATTCTATTTGTTACTATTCCTCAAATTTCAAATTATATCTATTACAGGCATGTTTCTGCATTTTGACAACAGAGTACAATTATTAGCCCTGCACAATTATTCCAGCTCCCAACCTCTCTGAAGAGCAGATGTGTGCCTGCTGCAGGGTAGATACCCTGAGAGACAGGATTTAAGAGGCAGCATATTGACTTACCTTGAGAATGAAACTAAACTAGCATTCACTCCTGATGCCTGATGCATGGAGAAAGAAGAGAGGAAACCAGATCCTGTGGCCCCAAAGTAAGCACTTGATGCCAAGAGCTTTCCCTGCCTGGGTACAACAGTATTTCGATCTGAATGGAAGAGTGGATGGGGTGTCACATCCTTTCCTTCATCATCAAAAACCTGCAGAAATAGTTAAATAATTGTAATAGTTTTGCTGTGTTCCCAAAAAAAGCAACAGTGATGGCACTTGCAACATTTAGCTCATCTGGAACAAAAAGAAGACCCCAATCCAGGCAGGAACCTAACGGAACAGTAGGTAACCCCTCTCTGCAAATGAAGCCTAATATACACTAGGGCAGAGGCGAGGGAGTTTGCACTCCTGCTTTCCCTTTAGGGTTCAGCCTTGAGAAGGCTGTCATCTTTGCCTGGGACTTCTTTGGAAGTCTGTAGAAAAGGCTGCAAAATATCTGGAAAAACTATGTTTGTCTCACTACCAGAACCACTTCTCCTTCTTGGTCAACCCTGCTATCTTTTCTGGCTTATTTATTCTATAATGACTACCAAGAGTGGCTTATTGACTGTAACTGTTCATGTCAAATTAACAGTACAGCAAAAGCAATGAGGGAAACAATTATGGATCTTTTCTTATTACACTACTCAAAACATTTTATTGTAAGAAGATACTCAGTAAGGTCTTCAAATGACTCTCAGGTTACGTTATAGGAATCTTCTTTAGGTAAAGAGATACAGGTGCTGCAGTCATCATCTCACATAGATTTGAAAGTAAGTAGTTCTCAGATTAGGAGGAGTACTGTTACTCTGATTTTTTTTTTATTCCTGCAGATTGTTTGTGAACACTAATCATCATCACTTCAGAACGGATTAAGCTCTTGGATCATTTCTTTCTCCACAGCTCTTCAACTTCAGACATGCCTTTTCTTTCCTCCTCCCTCTCCAACTTCCTTTCTGACAACTTTTAACCACCACAATAACTCACATTTAAAACTTTTTAGTAATAGTGTAAATGGCTTCTCACCCGTATGGCATACTTGTTACCCACGAGACACGCCCTGTCCACAGCTTTGCCATCAGAAGTTGTGGATTGGCTCCTGCAACTTGCTGCTCTATTTGGATAGATGCCACTTATGATGCTCACTCGTCTTTGGCTACCAGAACTTGCTCCTGATCCTTGCCTTACCCTGAAATCAGCCGTACAAGTTCTATTTCAATCAACAAAATACAAACAATGAAATGCGATCACCAAATTACTTGTCCCTTAACTTTCATGAATGGTTTAAAAGATTTAAACTGTTCAGTGTGATAACCCTGAAATAATGTAATTCGTTCAGAAAATCTCCGTTCGGCTTCCGAGGTGGCTTTCTTCAGCGGCGCTAGGAGGAGCGAGCTGGATGGGGGTGGGGGCAATGCCTGCTGTAAAATAGAAGCCTAAAAGACATTTTACTGGTAATCGATTTTCTGGGACTAAGCTTACAAAGGGGAACTGATGTGGCGATAAAGGGGCAACTGCAGCCTGTGGGTGCCTGCGGGGACGGTTACACGGACACGCTGCGGCGCGCTGCCGCCGGCTGCCCGCTCAGACCGGGACACCGGCGGGAGCCCA